TGTATTAACATTTCTTATTTTGTCTTCACAAAAGACATAGTTTATTCAATGTATCTATTAATAACAATATCTAAAGAAAATCTCAGAAATTTATTTTCTTTGTAGATATCGGAGGAAGTATCACCACTATCGACATGAAAAGGGTTTCAAAAATAGTCGGAGTAAATGTGAATGGTGTTGTACATGGGATCAAGCATGCTGCACGGGCAATGATCAAAGCAGGTACATGTGGTTCTATTATAAACTCGTCAAGTACTGCTGCAATAATGGGAGGCCTTGGATCACATGCCTACACGTTAACAAAAGAGGCGATTCTAGGAGTAACAAGAAGCTCATCATGCGAGTTAGGTTTGTATGGGATTCGTGTCAATTGTGTTTTACCTCATGGAGTGTTATCAGAGATGCTCGTGGATGCATATCGTGGTTTCAAAAAAGATGCAACAGTTGAAGAAGTGCAACAATCTGTAAGTGAGACTGCAAGTTTATTAAAAGGACGATGTGGAATGGTTGAAGATATTGCCCATGCTGTGTTGTTTTTAGCTACTGATGAGTCTGGATTTATAACTGGTCATAATCTTGTTATCGACGGTGGCTATACCACTTCGTCCGTCAAAATGAGTTTCATATATCGTGATAAACAACCAGAGTCAAATAAAAGTAGCTAGTATATGTAAAAAAAAGGTCAAGTTCGTTGCTCTGGTCAATTTTCATACTTATAAATATATAATAAATGTATTATGATGTTATTTCTTATAAAACTTACCAATTAGGACCGTGGAGTGATTAATCTAAAGGTAAAAAGACACAAATTTATAAATAAGGTCTTGATTTAAATTAGAACATTACATTTTTTATTTTATGAAAATATTATGATTAATCTTCTCAACATTATCTATAAGACCATTATAAGGCCATTAGGAGTGGCTCGTTTTTTCTGTAATGAATAATTTTGGAGATTTTCCAATGTTGGATATTATTTTGAGGTTCCTAGCATTGTCAATGTCATTCCATATATATATATATATAT